TTTCAGCACTGCTGATCCGTCTTTTATATTGTTGGCTCTTTCCCAATACTAGTGTCCACATTTTTAGCACCATCCTCAACCCAATGCCAAGCATCAGCAAACATTCCAATCTTGCAGATCAGCTTCTCACTGAAGGGGAAATCAGTGATATGGGGTCTGTGCATCCGCAAGTCAGTCTTCATTTACATACACATCTACCCCAGACCTGGGAGAGAACTGATCACAAACAACATCCAAGGAAACCCATCTCTTGGGAATCTATCCCAACACTAAAGTCCAGTTCCTAGACTGTAAATCTGCTTCAAGATTTCACTCTAATCAGACATCACAGCAAAGAAATTATCCTTCTTCCAACCGTGCATACTTCAGTCCAGCACCACCACAGCCTCTCTTCCCAAACATACATATTTGCTCCTACGTTCAGATAAACAACATGAACGCGTGTGTATAACAGCACCACCTGGTGATTCCTTCCCTAATAGCAGGCATGTCCAAAGTCCGGCCCGCGGGTCAATTGCGGCCCGTGTTCCGGTTTAATACGGCCCCACAGGTAATTTGGCAATATCTATCTTTTATGGCCCCCAACGAATCCATATGTATTGAGATGAATACATTGTAAAATCTCAGTTAATGTCAGTTGGTCTAAATCAGTTATAAATATATTTGGACACAACATGTATACTTGGTGTTATGTTCCTGTTCATATTTTTTGAACTTAAAAGTTGACAGACAACCTTTATTACCAATAATATGTAATGTACTTTACAATGTTCCTGACATATTTCAGCTTCCTGGATTTTTTTTCATCTGGCCTTCAGATATGAAAGGCAGAGTGATTTAACACCTGTTTAGATTTGTCATCCATGTGACGAAATGAAAAGTATGCCGTTTGCAATAAACTTTGCATAAAATAGTTAATTTGCATTTAATTTTAATGGTTCAAAGAATGTCAGGCAAAATGGTCGGCCCTCACGCATGTTTACTTCATCAAATCTGGCCCTCTTTGAAAAAAGTTTGGACACCCCTGCCTAATAGTAACACACTGCAGTGTATTGTCCAGCCAGACAAGATTACTGCTAAAAATAATTCTGTCCATTGAGAAATGTTCATTGGACCGGCTGAATTCTTTGTGCATGAAGAAGTGATCCCCAAGCTCATTCCCATGTTCTCCAAAACAGTTATTTTCTTGCCATCTTGTAAAACTTATCAGAGCAATTCAGGATTAAACCAAAGACAGTTCTCTTAGGTCTTTACTAGCAGCATTACCACACAGACGGGCTTGGAAGAACAGACAGGAACTATTGGCTGCGCCCTGCCTTCCTCAGATGGAGAGCAGGTCAAGTGAGCCAATACAGGAATAAGCCCATCAACATATTTCATCCTTTGTTGTGGGTATTTGACATGTTTTCAGGCCTGGAGACAGTGATGGGGAGTTGAAGATTCATCTCCTTTTACTCAAGCTAGTGCTAAGAAAGGGAAGTGCAGCAGCTTTGCTGAGATCTTTCATTCAGCCCCATCCACCTAGACCATCAGCATCCAGATCCCTGCCAAGAGAATAGGGCTCCAGAGAAGTTTGGGGTGGCGGGACCTAGTAACCGCATCAGGAGGTTGCTCTTCACACCTGTCTTCTATTCAACAGATCAGGTCATCAGATGAAGTGGGTTTTACCCACAAAAGCTCATTACAATCAATTTGTTCATCTCTAAGTTCCACAGGACTGATAATTATTTCTACACTTACAGACCAACACAGACTAACACTTTTTACAAAACCAGGCTGTATTTTCCCTTGCAAGACAGAAGCTTTCAACTGTGATTTTGGTTAGTATGTGTATGTGAGGTACTCCCCAATGACAGAAAAAAACATCCCTTGAATATGGAGACAAAAATCCATCATTTTCTTTCATGTCCACTGTGGCAGTACCTGCCCTTTCATTTCCAGTAACTTCAGAGTCTGTGGTAACACCTTTTAACGAGGAACTGCACTTGCACACAGTTTACAGCAGGTGGCCACATTCAACTACCATCCCAACTACCATGCTGCAAGCTCCATGCTTTTGTTAAGGAGGTAAAATGAATATTTTAGGAGCTGAAATACAGAATCATGAGTCCAACTTTAAATCTCCAGGAACAAAAATTAAGGACTATTTGTGAAATCTCACACAGTACATGGATAGCACTGCCACAGGGCTCACTATTTAATGGGAGACCAGCCTACTCTTGTCCACTACATCGATCTTAAGGATTTAAATGGCAGAAATAGGAAGTTAAGAGTTAAAGGCCACACGGTCCCCCTCTTCATTACTATAGAGTCTGTGAGGTGATGACTGAACAACCCAGTGGGGAGTAGCTAAGAAGAGAGGAGCTACCCCCTCCGTGCACAGATCCCCAAACACAGATCTCTAATTAATACCATTCAATTCATCTGTGTGAGGTGACTCCTAGTATACAAATGAATCTGAGGCCATTACATGTAACCGAGCAGCCAAGCAACACTAAGAAGCTAAGAAAATTTATTTCCATTCCAACCATTTCCATTAATATGGGGTTGTCCAGCTCTCACCAAAAACAGGGCCTGGGACAGATGGAGACCTCCAGGTACCACCATCATCGTCGACAGAAATTCCAGTTTAACTAAAACTGAGGAGGCTTTCCCAAGGCACATAGATTGCATTTGTCTATTTCATCCCTGGCTTCCTTAACCACTCGTTTCCTGTCAGCTTTTCAGTCAGCTGGGAATTTACATCACTGAACCACAATTTGCATATTTCACACCCAAGTGATGCTGTCCTTTAGCTCTGTGCCCTTATAAACATTCCATGTCACTGGTAGCATTTGTTGATCAGCACCAGGCCAGTCAGATGTAGCAAGATGATCTCACAGGCTCAGGCAGTGGGTCTAGCACCGACTTCACATTCACCATCAACAGGCTTGAAGCAGATGATGCTGGAGAGTATTACTCTCAGTATCATGACACCACTCCTCTGACACAGTGAAAAAGACCAGCACAAAATCCTACCTCTGAAGTTCAACACCATGTCACAGCTGCTTCTTACACATTCACTATCTGTGCGACTGCCACACTTCATTGGGAGATGGAGGAGAGCCACTAGGCTACAGACATTGCTGTTCTTCCACAGCTCCCCAGCCTGCAGCACAGACAGGAATAAGGACATCATTCAGGTGGTTTTCACTCCAAATATCCCCTGAACTGCTTTTCCACAGGGTCAAAGGTTTTGTTCCCCAAACCCCAACAACGACTGTCACTTACTGCCCTAGGAGCCCTCTGGGAGCATTTCAGAGGTAACAGACATGGGCAGCCCAGGGCTTCATTGGCAGTGATGCCATGTGGGGGGAAAGCCGTAAGAATCTGAGCCCAATGGCTCCTGGAGGCTGGGAAGGCTGCACATGCAGCGAAGGAACAAGGCACAGAGTTCCCTGTCCACCTCGCACAGTAGAGACGTGGCATGACACTGACAGGCTGTGATAGGAGCTGCATGCAGCCCTCAGAATACTGCCATGGTGCTGTGCTACCCCCTGGAGCTGGGGTGAGGCAGACCACAGTAACAGATCAGTTTCTGCCTGCAGTCTAGCTATAGTGGTGCTGACACCTACGTGTAAAGAAGGAGACACAGGCTAGCTCTACACTATAAAGAAAAGTCAGAAAAAGATATAGAAATTGCGAACCACAAGGTGCGTATCTTTTTCCGTTTTTCTTTTAAAAGAGGCTTTTCTGAAATTTGGCCCATCTACATGGGGCCAAATTTCAGAAGAACCTCCTCTTTCCACACATCCCTTCTTCCTCAGACAATGAGGATTACCAGGATGGTGAAAGAACACTTTTGCTTTTTTGGAAATTGTTCCGAAAAAGGGGACGCATTCCTTTGACATTTGTTATCCCAGAAAAGCTCTGAAGTCTAGCCATAGCCAAAGGGAATTAGCTCCAGGGATTGGCCCAAAACCCCACTGAAGCCAGTGGAAAGATTCCTAGTGATCTCAAAGAAGTTTAGATGAAAACGTAATTGGCCCAATTGGGTGTTACCTATGTTAGCTGAATGCTCCAACACACTCCTCAACACAAGCCTCCGTATCATTATTCTGTCAGTGAGAGCACGTGGTACCAATGTTCTGATGAGATCTTTGCTGTAGCAGTGCTACCAACCAGGACCTAGACCAGGGGTTTTCAAACTACAGGTCATAACATTGTGCTTGGTGATGGAATGTCTGGAACTAGGTCTCATTGCTGCAGGCAGATCAGGTGACCACTGGGGGCTCTAACACAGACTACCTGCCTACCCTGGCACCACAAACTGTGCTGCATCCCAGGGGAGACTGGCAATAGGACTGGCTCCCAGGTGTGTGTATGGAGGGGAGAACACCCTGGGATCCGCTCGCTGCCTCTGCCACGAGCACTAGCTCCACACTCCCATTGGCCGGAAACCTGCTGCAGGCTCCTTTCGGGGTACAGCATGTTCTGGGTACCAGGAGAGGCAACAAGCCTAATGTAGCATATCTGTTGTACTGCTGACCAGAAGTTACTTAAGGTAAGCCCCTCCTACCCCAGCCCTGAATCACCCAAAGCCAAAGCCCCTCCACCACTCCAAAACTCTCATTCTCAGCCCCAACCCAGAGGCCACATGCTAGTGAAATTATGTGGGGCTGTGGGCATCAACAATTTTCTTTAATGAGGCCATGAGAAAAAAAGTTTGAAAAGTGCTGACCTAGACAAGGGTGACGAGCACAGAATGTTTATTCTCAGCCACCCTTCACGAATGGCATTTCAGTCCTTCATGACAGTGCTGCCCAGGGCCTGGAGGGAGAGGTGAGCTTGTTTATTTTAGCTGGCGGGGCCTTTTCTGGTTCTGTGCATCTCTATCAAGCACCTGAATTTTCATGTGAGCCAGATTTGCATATTTCCATCCACGTGATATTTCTCTGCTACTCTGAGCTGTTATAAATAATCCCCTGCTGCTTGTGATGCTTGGCCATTGGCATCTGGGCAGTCAGACGTATCAAGATGATCTCGCAAGCGCCACTCATCTGGCTGTTGGTGCTCTGGATCCAGGGTAAGGATCAAACCAAGAGGCAACTGTCTGAATTTAAATGATTATTTATTAATCTTTTATGCAATAGCTCTTCAGTGGCCTAAATAGGCATCAAGGCAGCTTTGTTAAAGACACTGTGCAGACAGATCATAAAAAGATGGTCTCTGTCCTAAAGAGCTTTGGACTGAATCTTTTTTTATATTGGCTCAATCTGGAGAGGCTAAATATCACACAATATGTTCCTCAGAGATCATCGCTAACTGCAGAAAATGTTTCCCTTATTAAAACTGCCATAAAAGAAACAAAAAAATATGAGAAGGCCAAGAGCAACAAAGAAAATGGATTAAAATGAAAGTTTTATTTTTGTTACTATGGTCAGGTGATGAGGTAGAATAATTCTATAAAGAATGTCACTATGTAGATATTTTATAAATATTATAATGCACTAAATTACATATTATTCCTAACTACAGATGCCAGAGGGGACATTGCGATGACTCAGACTCCAGAATCCCTGGCAGTGTCTCCAGGAGACAGAGTCACCATCAACTGCAAAGCCAGTTCCAGCCTCACTTACTCAGGCAGCGACTACTTAGCCTGGTACCAGCAGAAAACGGGACAAGCGCCTAAGCTTCTCATCTACCTTGCTTCCACACGTGCCTCTGGGATCCCAGACCGGTTCAGTGGCAGTGGGTCTGGGACCGATTTCACTCTCACCATCAACAGGGTTGAAGCAGATGATGCTGGAGATTATTACTGTCAGCAAAGCTATGAAACCCCTCTCACACAGTGATACAGACCAATACAAAAACCTGCCTGTGCTGCTTAATTCCGTCTCACAGCTGTTTCCTTCATGGTCACTGTCTGTGGGTGTTTTTGGGTTGGGGGGGGGGGAGCTGGGCTACAGCTCTGCTGTTCTTCCACAGCTCCCCAGCCTACAGCACAGACAGGAATCGACTAGGTGGTTTTCATTCCAAATATCCCCTAAATTACGTTTCCACAGGGTCAAAGATTTTGTTCCCCAAACGCAAACAGTGACTGTCATTTACTGCCCTAGGAATCCTCTGGGAGCATTTCAGAGATAAAACACATGAGGAGAGCCCAGGGCTTCACTGGCAGTGGGTCATGTGGGGGGGAGGGAGTGACAACCTGAGCTCTTTGGCTCCTGGAGGCTCGGAAGGCTGCAGATGCAGCAATGGAACAAGGCACAGGGCTCCCTGTCCACCTCACATAGCAGAGACATGGCATGACACTGACAGGCTGTGAGAGAAGCTGCAGGCAGCCCTCCCAGCCCTCTCATGGTGCTGTGTAACCCCCCTGGAGTGGGGAGGGATACAGTGGGCCAGGGACAGGAACAGACCCATTTCAGGCTGCTAACAGCTAGGTGTGAATAAGGAAACACAGGGACTTAGAACCAGGGACTGGCCCAAAACCCCACTGAAGCCAATGGAAAGATTCCTACTGAGGTCAGTGAAGTTTAGCTCAAGACATAATTGACCCAGTCGGGGTTTACCCATGTTTGCTGAATGCCTGAACACACTCCCCTGCACAAACCTCCATATCATGTCACTGTCAATGAGAACACACGGTATCATTGTTGGGAGGAGATCTCTGCTGTGGCAGTGCTGCTAACTGGTACCTCGAACAGTGGTTTTCAAACTACAGGTTGCAAAAACAGTTCTGGGTAATAAAATCTCAGGTACTGGGTCTCACTACTGCAAGGAGACAAGGGAAAGAAGTGGGGGTGCTAAGGTGTGACGGCGCGTCGGGTTTTTCCCATCTCCTGCACCCCCGTAATGGCATGGACAGACTCCGTGTTTATTGCTTCTCCAGGATACAGCACAGCACAGATGTAATCTGGTTACAGGGCAGGCCTAGGATGCCTCAGCCCCCCTTGAGATGGGGGAGACTGGGCCCCTGTATTCCAGCCCCTTTCCCTAGTTGTCTCCTCCATGCTCCCAGATGGATACTAACTCACCTTTCAGCCCTGCCCCCAGCCAGGGCTCTAATCCCCTTATCATAGAATCATAGAATCATAGGACTGGAAGGGACCTCGAGAGGTCATCGAGTCCAGCCCCCCGCCCTCAAGGCAGGACCAAGCTCCGTCTACACCATCCCTGACAGATGTCTATCTAACCTGTTCTTAAATATCTCCAGAGAGGGAGATTCCACCACCTCCCTTGGCAATTTATTCCAATATCTGACCACCCTGACAGTTAGGAATTTTTTCCTAATGTCCAATCTAAACCTCCCCTGCTGCACTTTAAGCCCATTACTCCTTGTCCTGTCCTCAGAAACCAAGAGGAACAAATTTTCGCCTTCCTCCTTGTGACACCCTTTTAGATATTTGAAAACCGCTATCATGTCCCCCCTTAATCTTCTTTTTTCCAAACTAAACAAGCCCAGTTCATGAAGCCTGGCTTCATAGGTCATGTTCTCTAAACCTTTAATCATTCTTGTCGCTCTTCTCTGTACCCTTTCCAATTTCTCCACATCTTTCTTGAAATGTGGCGCCCAGAACTGGACACAGTACTCCAGCTGAGGCCTAACTAGTGCAGAATAGAGCGGCAGAATGACTTCACGAGTTTTGCTTACAACACACCTGTTGATACCACCTAGAATCATATTTGCTTTTTTGCAACAGCATCACACTGTTGACTCATATTCAACTTGTGGTCCACAATGACATATTATCAAGGTTTGGGACAGTGGTGGGGACTTGAGGATTCATCTACTTTTACTCATGCTGGTGCTAAGCAATGGAAGTGCTGGCAGCTTTGCTGAAATCTTCTTTTATTGAACCCCACCCAACTGGAATACTCAAGTATACTCCTAGACTACTCAAGGAGCGGATAGAGGAAGCATCTGAGCCTTTAGCTATCATCTTTGAAAAATCATGGAAGTCAGGAGAGTTTGCAGAAGACTGGAAAAAGGCAACTATAGTGCCCATCTACAAAAAGGGAAACAAGAACAACTTAGGAAACTACAGATCAGGTAAAAGCTTCAGGGGGTGGCCGAGTTACTCTGTAATTGGAAAAACCTCCCTATGTCCCATTTTGTGTAACAGCTGCTTCCTTCAAACAACTGCCTTCTGAGTGCAATGCTACGTGTTATTTGGGGGTAGACTATCAGCCCCAGAAACACATAACCCTGCTGTCTCCAACCTGTAATACCCACAGATTGACAGACTTTGCTTCTAGAGAAACTTCCCCCCGCACACAAGACTGTTTTACTTCTGCACAGCCATGGCAGAATTTTTTTCCATCTGGCTTTCAAATACTTTATTCACCTCCATGTTACTGTCCTAAAAAGGCAGCGTGAGCATTTCATGTCAGTTCAGTGCTTTACTGAGAGTCCTGCCAGGGCAGGGAGCGGAAGTGATGCCCTGAGGTCTAGAGCGTGCAGGTGTTGGACAGGAACAACTCACCTTACCATCGAGTGTCCTGCTCCGGCAGATCCATCGTATAAGGGGAGAAGGAACCTAGGAAGTTTCTCTGTAGGAGGGAACGTAGTTGAAATGCAGGGCCTTGGAAAGAGGAAGGACAGTTGCACTGGAGAAAGGCAATGGGGAGTTCCTGGGGAACACCACTAGTAACATTATAAATGAATCCTTGAGAAGAGACACAAGGGCAGCTCAGGCAGCTTGACAAACGGATCCAGTCCCCTTTCTATTGGGTCTGTCAGTGAACTCCTGCAGGAATCTCCTAAATCCTTCCCGCTGTACAAATGTTTCCAGCTGCTGGGGCAGAGAAATCACAGGAAATAATGTTATTAGCAACTGCTTAATTCCAACTTGCTTTCTTCATATATACTCAATGCTCAAGTAGACAAACAGATGTAACTATCCAACACTGTTCAATGGGCAGTAACAAGCTATTTTGGAATTAGAGGGAGACAACAGGTATTTCAGATCAAGAGCATTTTTATTTCAATAGCACTGAATGATCTATCAACTGAGGCATTTAAAGCAGAGGTTACTCTTGGGCTGTCAGAGAAACCTGGTACGTGACAGGTTGCTCAGAAAAGTATCTTGCTAAAAGGTGTCTAAAGTAACTCACATCAATGTTTGCCTCTTTTTACATGAGCATAATCAGATTGAAAGTATTTCAAAGACAAGTCATTTGGCCAAAATCCCTGAAATTTCACACAAAGGCCAGCAGGGGGCATAAATTCATCTACAAATACATCTATGGGAGCATTTCACATTCCAGATTAGCAAATACAAGTGAAATACCATGATGACATCACTACACACACCTAGGCAAAATAAAGATAAATCATTCTGCAGTGCTGTGATCTCACACAGGGCACCAGATACACAAGCAAGAGTGAAGCCTTTTGACTCCAAGAATTCAGCCATGAGGTCAGTGACTAGTAAGACATGTTTCCCATTGTTGTTTCCCCATGACAAATGATCTGAAATAAGGCAACAAATCAGTTCTTTGGACACTGTTCCCATCTGCAGGACAAAAGGAAATCTCATTGGGCTCCCTTCTGATTTCACTGTAAACCAGGCGCAACTCTGTTGAAGGTAAATAGAGTTAATGAAGTGTATCTGAGATCAGGGTCAAATCCATGGACTTTCTGAGTCTTACTTGTCTCTTGCCATCAGAGAATCAATCCCTGTTTTTCTCAAGGCTGAATCTGACACAAAAGGGGAGCCAAGATCTTTGAATAATTATTCACTCAATACTCATCCGGAGCTGTTATCCTCATTTTAACTCTCCCAGGGTCTGGTTATCAGCACTGGACAGCTCAGACCCATCAAAGTGATTCCCCAGGCTCAGTTCATCCTGCTGTCAGTGCTCTGGATTTAGGATTAGAACTCGCCAAAGATGGGACTGGAGGAAACTCTTGCCTATCAAATACTAAATATTTCTTAGTTACACAAACTCCTGATCAACTCTCCTTTTAATATTTTAAATGAAACAAAGAGTGAAAGTACATTTTAAAGAAACAAGAAGCTGAAGAGTGTTTCCAAGGACTGGTGTCCAATTTGGATCAGGTCTGAAAAGAGCATAAAAGAACATCCACAAGCTGAAGAAGCTTCACAACTGAGTAATGGCCTCTGGTCATTAAGCAAAGATGGGTGTGAATATTAACAACACACAATATTGTTCACGTGCGTTTGGCTAATATTTTAGTTTACTCTTAACACAGGGTTGTAGCAGGGGCATTGTGATGATTCAAACTACAGAATCCTGTTCTGTTTCCTGGAAATAGTCATCTCCAAAGACTGTTCAAGCCTTACTGGCAGTAGATGAATGAGTAAAAATTTAACCTGGTCCCAACTGAAATCTGCACAAGCTCCTAAAGCCGTGGCCTGTTATGCTTCTGCCCTGAAATCTGCAGATATCCAGTGATAAACATATACACTCAGGAGGTACAGTTTTAATTGCTAAATGGGGTACTCAGTCACACTCTCCTCCTTGTTCCTCCACTGGCCCTCACTGCCCCTGTCCTCAGGCATGAGTCACCTTTGTTTATTGCTCATATTTAACCTCAAGATAAGCACCAAAACCATGGCTGATATTTATCTAAAAATACCTATTTGAGTAATAAACCACTCAATGAATGAAACTTCAGAGAAGTGAACATGTAAACATATATTGAAATGCAAACGATCATTGTGAGCTTATTACATTTCAATGAGCTACAAAAGCAGGAGTAAGAGACACGGAAGGGATCTCTGGGGCCCACACTCACTATTAGTGGAATTGCCATTTGAATGAAGATAGAGGATTCCTTCCAAGTGCCAAACAAGTCGAACTTTCCTATTTCAGATCGGTCTCT